AATAAGCTAATAACAAGAAACTACGTCTCAACTCTACATATGGCATTGCATAGGTATAGACAAGCAGAAAAGAAATCAATTGATAAAAACTTGATTATGCTATGTGTACTACCGAGTTCCATTCATTAAACTATATGAATATTGTTTTCTTTAAATATAATTGGTTTGATTTTAAATGCATTTGTGTACACCCGGCAATTACTTACATTTCCATACAACCAATAATGAGATGCTTCGGCTAGTTGTAAATTACCCGTTCTAATGTACCATTCAGAGGATTCCGGTAAATAAAAAGTCAAAATAGCTACAAACGAGATAATCAATGCAAAAATCAAGGAAATAACATCCCAGATTACAAACACCGCAAGTGTATAATCACAAACAATTCCACATGCTATGCCAATTTGAAACAATGATCCCATTAATACTTTCCTTGATGATGGAACTATTTCATATACATAAATTATATTGGTAGTTAAAGTTAATCCACATGCTAAACCAGTTAATAAACGTCCTAATATCAATTGAACAGTCGGTGAATATCGTTCATAAACAGTTGGTGATGACCAAAACAATAACATCCATCCAATCACAGATAGAGTATAAGAAAGTAATAATGTACGACGATGACCGCAATAACGAATAAGCCATGTTGACCACAGAGATCCAAATATTCCACCAATATTTAAACAACCAATAAAAACGGATGACCAAATAGTATTAAAATAAAGTTGAAGTGCTGTTGCTGATGAAAATCCAAATGTTAATCCTGAAAATAACCGAAAATGAGACAATCAATCAATCAAAAAGGATTATATATATATATACGAATGTTCATATACTTGGACTGATATCAGTGTGATAATTATTGATAAATCATTTGGGTTTTTGAACGTTCGGAAATTTTTTATTCTAAGATTATATAAGTATTAATTATTTCAACTTCTAGTTAACACTGGTTTGAATTAAAAAAAATCATTTAGAGATGAAAATTCTCATAAAACAAAAAACATATTTCCACAAAACAGTCATATTTTTGTCAATCTATTATTGCATACATTTTGTGTTAGTTGTCGGCTAACCAAAAATGTAAAACATATGAGATGTTTCTAAAATATCTTGATTAGAGAGTCACTTAGTTAGTTAGTTCATAAGTAAAATAGAACCGGTTACATATATATATATTCGTCTACATTATAACAGACTTAAGGAATTGTCAGTATAAATTAAAAACAAGTGATAAAAATAGTAGATTTTACATTTTAAAAAAATTAAGCATTGACAGTAACATTAAAGGGAAATGAATAAACTCTTGGAATAAAAGGGTTTAGAAAAATCCGAAACTACGAGAAGACAAAGAGTGAATGTGTTACGCCTGCACGTAAACACGTCAACTTGATATACTTGAACTATTACGAGTTCACCTAGTCGGAAACGAGAGCGAGGATCCGGTGACACGACATGTTACTCAAATCCGATTATTACAACCCCCATATTTAGTTAAAACAAGAAGATATGATGTGAAGTAGAATGTATATTCTACAAGCATCCAGAAAGCACGAGGTCCGAATCCAGAAGAGAATCAAGATCCCCGACTACGGATCCGGGACCGAGCCCTGGTCCTGGTCATGGTCAATAAACGTTACAGATAATGCGTATTTATACATTTTGGTCGGATAGGAAACAGCATCGAATTCTGTAGCATTGATAGTTAAGACGAGCAATAGGAAGTAACATTTGAAGTGACATTGATAATCACGACAACCAATAAAAAACAACATTGAAGTATTTGACTTCGACAGTCATAACGACCATAATTTTGACCAATAGAAATCGACCAATACGATTTGACCAATAATTCTCTTAGGATATTGGATGAACATCCTAACAGAATGCATTTACGCTATTGTGACCAACTATAATATGTCCTAGTCAGTCTTCAAGAAACAATCTAAACAGATGGCATCTTCCAACACACATTGTGAAATTTAATATTCAATAACTTCGTGGGTAAATACAACTTATTGGTTTGCATGCCTTTAGGTTCTTTCCAAACGAATATTATGCCAGAAAGTAAGAATTTGAGCGAACACAAACAATGAATACACCTGCGACATTGCAAACGGTTTTGAGCCATGTCATTCACAGTCTCTAACCAACCATTACTATCATCTCGCCGGTCCTAATCAGCTTGTCGACATCTACCGACTAGTTGTCTTGGAAGTCGTCTATTCTATTCTACAATTAATTCAATCTACTAGGTCTAAAATTAACAAACGCATAAATATTGAACGCCATTTCAGTAATCATTACTTTCGACTAAGTGAATACGATCTAAAAGAAAATCTCCTCAACCAAACTTCTAGTACGCCCACAAAAAAAACTTTTTCTTAAGCCCTCAACTATTGGAAAAACAAACATTTATACCTGACTCCATTGTCATTCATAATTTTTCAGTGTATCTTTGAAAACTGGTCATTCCGAACAGGGGCAGCTCTTTTCACTTCTGATTACAATTTTAGAATAAAAAAAATTAGTCACTGTCAAAAAACAATGATCGAATTTTTTGCGAAGTCATGCAGTAGTATACCCAACAACACAGTAATAGCTAAGATGGATGTCATGTGGATGTCATGTAATTCAATATTATATTGTAGCACAGAAAAATATAAGTTTGATTAATTCATCAAGAGAAACCAACATAATCGATAACAATTAATGATCATCACTTTCATTCAATTTAGAATAAAGGAAGAATCGAATAAAATGTAAGCTTTTTAATATAGAAAAAAGGTGTGTGTTAAGGTAGCGAGGATGGTGTTGAAGAATAAGTTTTTTCCTTTCTTAGTTAGATTAAATTTTTATTGCAAATATAGAAGAGACAAGACAGAAAAGTTATGAAATTTACCGAAAAAAAAATTACAGGGAAATAAATAATTTTTGAGAATGGAACTAGATGTTTATTTTTCGTTTTTTAATGTCTTTAAAAAATTCCTAGATGAATGAATGATGCATATCTTTAAAATGATGTCATCGGACAACTAAATGTTGTTAAGTAAAATAGACAACTTATTATTTTAAGTGATATTTCAGTTAATTTCTAAATATTTTCATCATATATACTATCTATGTATGAAAAAAAAATTGAATTTTATTTTTTTCACTCAAAATTGAAAAATCAATTGATTTACCATCAATGTTTAAAGGGATAAAAACACACATAAAACTTGCTTACCAGAAGTAAATGCACTCAAAATACAGATAAACAACACAAAACGTAATCGACTAGTGATCATTGAGAAACAGAAAACTATACGTTCACAGGAAAAGAGTTCAAGTGAACCTAAAAAAAGAGAAAAACATGATGTAATCACTGAATAAATTGTATAGAAATTTACTTAACTTAAGATGAATGATCCTAAATACTTTGCGAGATTGCTTGACTACTCTAGACACTTAACAAATTCGTAAGAGCGTAAATATTTTATTGATACCATCAAATGATAATACAAGGTCGCAGAGTATACAGTCTTTGTCATACAATTCTATTAGTAATTTGTCCATCAAAACAAGTAAACTAAATACTAGGTTTGGTTCCAGGTATTTGGAAATGTCTAACGGATAATAGTCTAGCCACTCAACTGCAATAATTCTAGTCAACTGGTAGTTATTCTTGAATATGTATGTCTCGTGATTTGAATGAGTGCGCTTGTAGTGGTATACTTTTACGGAGAAAATACAATTGCCGAAATATAAATATTTGTTATTGTACTTAATTCTGACAATAATTGTTATATTGTACATCTCTTGTTTATCTGTACTAAAGACTATCTCTCGGGCGCCAAGGGTGTTATTCCCATTCGGTTCCTTTGCTCATCTCCTGCGTGGACGTTAGCCGTTTGTACGCCCTCTGGCCTCAATTTCGATATCATGAAGCTAGCATTAAATATACTTCTTCATCTAGAATAGTCTTTTATCTGATTCTTAGAATAACGGGATTAACATTTGCTATCCCGCGAAGTAGTATATTATTCCATTAGCTATACGCTTGTCTCAGGGCAGTCAGGTTTCTGAATACTAGCAGCTATCACGTTACCAGACCGGAGATCAGTTACTTACAATGTGGAGAACGATAAAAAGAAAAGTCTAATGCCAATTGGAAAAGGAAAATTCCAGAACTATGCTAGTAATTAAAATGTGTGACAGCACCGACATGTAAGCAAAACAGATTAAACAGAGATAATAAGCAAGATAGAATAAGTTAGTGACATGTATTAGGTACAACTGGTCCAAGAAGGAGATGATCATAAACCATATCTGTGCATCTGTTTATCAAGTCTTTTCTCTCTTATATAAATCAAATTGAATGATATTGAATGACTAGTAAAATCAACTTAGGACATTTTATTTCAAGGTTGTAGTTGTATCATGTGAACCAAAAGAACTTGAGTCAAATCCTCAAAAGAACGGATTGAGAATCGTGGAAGTTCACTACGACTGTGAATAAAATCCCAATAAAAGATCAAACTCTGAGTAATACTATATACCAGGAAGGTTTTAAACATCAAAACTTGTCTTCTTTTTTTTAAATGATAAAAGCCATAGACATACATGCCTAAACGTATGCGACACTTAAATAATGCGGAAAAACCCACACACTGAACCCTTGGTACAGGCGAAGAGGAGAGCCTGGCACAAGTGGAAGATCTCATTGAAGGATTCCGATCGCAGTTCTTACTTGAAATTGAGAAACAGATGCAATACCGAAGTTCGAAGTGATAGGAGACAATTTCAGATGAAGTTAGCTGCCAAAATACAGGCAAACCCGAAGCATCTGTTTAGGTTCATGTCCAAAAGAAAACCTACTAATCAAGGGTTGTGTTCTCTCAAAGGACCAAACGGGGAAGACCTCACCAACCTAGAGATGGCTGAGATTCTAAACACTAACTTTACTGGGCAGTTAAACCAGGAGCCCACATGTTCAGAGTACTATGCAAACCCATTGCCAGCTGACGGTTTAGGGAACATCTGTATCACTCTTGACTTAGTACTAAGGAAACTAAAATCCTTACGCCCAGGTAAGTCACCAGGTTGTGACAAAATTCGCCGCATAGTCTTGAAACAATATGCAGAAGTTCTCTGTTCACCGATATGTGACCTGCTCAGGCATTCACTGCAGTCACACCAACTCCCAGCTGAATGGAAACAAGCTACTCTCTCTCTCTCTCTCCAATCTCCAAAGGAGAAGATAAGAAGGACCCAGAATGTTACAGACCAATCGCATTACTACTATTAAAGATAATGGAAGGGCTGGTGGACGAAAAAATGAAGGAGTACATGGATAAGAATAAAATACTCCATGAAGCTCAACACAGGTCTCGGAAAGGCAGGTCGTGTGCATCTAATCTTCTCATCGCATGGGACAGTTGGACATCCTGTTTGGACCGTAAAATACCGGTGCACGTAATATTTCTGGACTTTGCAAAAGCATTCGACACAGTACCTCACACACGCCTAATCGCAAAGGTTGAGGAAATGGGCTTCACTGACCCACTCGTATCTTGGCTCAGAAACTACCTTGAGAATAGAAAGTTTCGTACCAAAGTAAACAGAGTGCACGCGAGCTGGCAAGCATCCACATCGGCAGTTTCACAGGGGACCATCTTAGGCCCACTTCTCTTCCTGATATTTATTAACAACCTGTTAGACACAGTTAGCTCGCCGGCATTGATCTACGCAGACGATGCGAAGATCTGGAGGTCCATTAGAAGCGAAGAGGATTCGGCTGAGCTTCGAAAGGACCTTACATCTATTGAGGAATAGGCAGTGAAAAACGGTTTAAAACTCAACCAACCGAAATTCCACGTCATGCATATTCTGCCTCACACAACGCAAACGATCTACACCCTCAATGGGAGTCCACTCCCTAATGTCTTCTCAGAGCGCGATCTCGGTTTAATAACCACAGAAAGCCTCCACACGAGCCCAAAATATGTAGGGACGCAGCCAAGGCAAATGCGACTCTTCACTTTATGCGAAGAGAACTTGGTGCTACCACCCCGCAATTATTTTTGACACTACTTAAGGCGTATGCGTGCCTACACCTGGAGGTTCACAACGTCATCGCACCCCCTCTGCTTAAAACAGACATAAATCTCTTCGATCGAGTGCAGAGACGAGTAACGAAATTGGTGATAAGGTTGAAAAACAAGCCTTACAAAGATAGATTCCAGCACTTGACATTATTTCCACTGAGTTACAGGAGAGTTAGAGGTGATCTGATTATGACGTACAACATATTAAGCACGCCAAACCATCACAACGTGAGCATCATACCGATGCATCACCACCACTCCCTTCGAGGAAACCCTCGAAAGATTGCACATCAAAGAGCGAATACTCAGATTCGTGCACACTATATCTCATTCAGAGTCGTCGAAGCTGAGATGATCACAGCCCCCTCAGTAGACAGCTTTAAGAAGAGACATGATAAACACGCACTGAAACGCGGATTATCATCTCATTCGTGGACCAACTATGTCTCATGCGCGTCTTGAGACCTGCTAGTGGTTATCATCGCCATCTCCTCAGATCACTTACTTAATCTCTCGCCTATTTTCTCTGTTTCCTCTCCCTTGCTTACACTACGGTCGTCTCTCACGATCTTCACCACCAATTAATAAAACTAAATTCACCTACATATTACTTAGTTCTGAAATTTTATTCATATTAGCATTGGAATTTTATCCTTATTATCCTTGTTACTCTCAGCATTGCAACTAACTGATCTCCGGTCTGGTAATGTGATAGCTCCTGCTATCCAGAAACCCTGCTGCCCTGAAACAAACGTTTTCATTCAAATCCCGAGATATACAAACTCACAACCAACTGCCAACTGACTAGAATTAGACAGTCCAGTGGCTAGATTCCCATTCATTGGACACTACCGAACACCTGGAACCGTACCGAAAGACCAAGAATCGAGCGCAAAGAAATCAATTGATTTACACTAGCTCGTGAAAAAGATATTGGATATTGGAGTTGCCAAAAAATTTTATCAGATGCCAAAAACAGTTGACATTCGTTAATTTCAACAAAACTGGATGAAGTATCTACAACTAATGCGAGGAAGCCATTCCGAATAATCTACATATGTAGATAAATAAATATAATAATGATAATAATATTGTAGAAGCTGTGGTAATCTGGGGATTCATCTGAAAGGCGAGATCTTACTTTTGAAATACATGTTTTCTGATACAAACTAATATGTTAGGCTGGAAGTTTTAAAGACAGTTTCCTACATTTTTTTTCGTATTTTTAGCATCTGATTTGTAAGCTTATAGTTTCCAAGGTCGAATCTCACCACTCAACGAAGGAAATCAGTAGTCTATTTCGACCACATTAGACACTTGGATCGAACTGTGCAACTTCCATCATTATATAATTTTGAGAAGATACGAACCCAGAAGTCAACCAGTGTTATTCTAAGAGATAAATAGGCGAATTCAATGGTTCCTTGTTACAAAAATATGCCTTTATCAGTTGGGACTCTCAGAATCCAGACAGTTAGTTCCAAATCAGATTAAAAGAATAAATCACTAACAATAAAGTGCGGGAGATCCAGACGTCTGCGACCTTTAAGGACGCCAGTTTCATAATCAGCGGTGCTTACTTGTCAACGATTCAATACCCAATAGCTTTTTTCAAAGCTACCATAAACCAATTATTTACTTCGAGCTCACTTCTTGTTCTTTAGGTGTGATTCCAGGCATTGGTAGTGTTGAACAGATGAGGAACTAGCCACTTGAGCGCACTAATTGTAATCAGCTGGCAGTTGATAATGAGTTTGTATGTCCCGTGATCTAAATGAGTATGTTTGTTTCAGGAAACCAGCAGTTATCACATTGCCAGAACGGAGGTCAGTTAGTTGCTATGTGGATAATAATAATAATAATAAGGAGAAAGTTACAGGACTGAGGAAGTAATTAGATAATTTAGTTTGTTAATTGTCGGTGAAGATTGTGCGGGAAGATCGGAATGCAAGCAAAGTAGATAATAAGCCGGATGGATTAGGTAAGTGTTTTGAGAAGATGACAATGATAACCACTAGCAGGTCTCAAGACGCGCATGAGACATAGTTGGTCCACGAATGAGATGATAATCCGCGTTTCAGTGCGTGTTTATCATGTCTCTTCTTAAAGCTGTCTACTGAGGGGGCTGTGATCATCTCAGCTGCGACGACTCTGAATGAGATATAGTGTGCACGAATCTGAGTATTCGCTCTTTGATGTGCAATCTTTCGAGGGTTTCCTCGAAGGGAGTGGTGGTGATGCATCGGTATGATGCTCACGTTGTGATGGTTTGGCGTGCTTAATATGTTGTACGTCATAATCAGATCACCTCTGATTCTCTTGCAACTCGGGGAGAATAACCGTTAATGCTGTCCAGTGCTATGATAAGATTCGATGCGCAGGACCTGCCTTTCCAAGGCCCGTTTTCAGCCCAATGGAATATTTTTTTCTTTTTCATCTACTCCTTCATATGTTCGTTCATCATGGCTTCCGCTACCTTCGGCAATATTGGTAGTTATGTTGTGGTGTGAGCTACTTATAAGTAGTATATGGCGTGAGTGTCAACGTAATGTCTGGCAGCGGGGGATGGAGGAAGATCAAGAAAGGAAGAGTTAGAACACAATGGAATTTGTATGAAACGCATGAATAATGACAATCGATTGATGTTTGGCAACAGGAACAGTCCAGTTCGATATGATGAACTGCTATTTTGCAAATGAACAATTTGCGATATGGTTTTCCAATATTGCTGAGTAACTCTGTAATTTTCGTTAAATACAATTCAGTTGCCCTACCTGTGTTTTCGTACACTACAATGTGACTAGTCTGTAACAGGCTGGATGCTTCCTATCTCCTCCTTTGGATATTGCAAAGAGAGTGCTATAGCTATTCTCACGATATACTTCTTCGCGGGAGAAAAAATGCGATTTCGAAATAATATTTAGGCCAGAGGGCGTACAAACGGCGAACGTCCACGCAGGAGACGCGCGAAGGAACCGAATGGGAATAACACCCTTGGCTCGAGAGAGATAGTCTTTAGTACAGATAAACAAGAGGTGTACAATATAACAATCATTGTCAGAATTAAGTACAATAAAAAAATTTTATATTTCGGCAATTCTGTTTTTTTCGTAAAAGTAAACCACTACATTTGTCAACACATTTTAGAAAGGTTTCACACTTTTGAAACATAGCGACTTCGTGTGGAGGTAGTGGGGGTGGTCAGCTAACGGGTGATTGTAGGGCGGATGGATTGACAGACAGTAAGCGAGCAATGAAGCTCGATATGTCAACGAGATTCTTTTACGTTAAGCTTTACCAATAGTAACGTTCCACGTTTGGTGCTCTAGTTGGAATACCTCTCTAGCGTGTCTCGTATCCAGAATCTGAAGAACGCCTTCATTGAGGTTCGTACCAGAAAAAAACTACAGACGTAGGACGGAACCAAACTGCGCTAAGGAGCCAGAAACGATCAGTTCAATACCATTTGTATGCCGGAACATTCGAAAACAAAACATCTATTTAGTGCATTGACAACAGTGTTGGTGGTCAGGCCAGCTTTCTCCAAAACTGACTGAAGTGGACGGTGCCAACAGGGTGATGTTCGTAGACATGGGCTCAGGATAAAAAATGAAAGAAAAAAAGAAAGGTGTAGCATACATGTATTACGAGGATAGGTTACTACCACGTTTCCGTTGTTGCGTATGTGGTTATTCGAGAAGGCGTACGTGACGGCCTGAAAGCGAGATGATAGTCTTGTGCGTACCTCGTGAGCCAGCAATCTCATCCGAAGTCAAGGGCTGTGTGGTCTGCTGATCTAGACATCAGACCGGAGTCTCATCCGTAGATAGTGCATATGCCGCGTGCTGTTGACTGGGACGTGAGAATGAGGTCTCTGGTTTGTATAGCTATAAGTATCCTGCCAGTAGGTTTGATATGTCTAGCATTGAGTCTCTGGTTAACAAGTGGGACACCGTCATCGGCGTGCGCTGGCTTGAGATGATCAATGCTGACTACCTCGACGCCACCATGTCGAGCAACCGTGAAGGTCTTTTCATGACGGTAAATCACGTGAAAAGGTCCCTCATAAGTCTGTTGCAGAGGTTTGCGCACTGAATCGACTTTTACGAAAACATACGAACAGGTTGATAACTTTCGAGGGAGAGCGACCTGTCGATGTTGTACTCGAGTTGACTCCGGAGGCAGTGATCGCATAAATTCAGACAATCTTTGGACGTAGTCTGATTTACTGTAGTTATCACTGCTCCGTGGTGTGCGAAATTTTCCGGGCGAACTCGTTTTGATACCTAGGAGGAGGAGCGGTGAGGTTTCGTACCAGTTGTTTTTTACATGTGCCCGGAGAGCACTTTAAGGTTGGTGACGAAACCGTTAGACTGAACCATTTGAAGCTAGGTGGTAGGTGGTAGTGCGTATGCACTCCATGCCAAGCAGCCATGACAAAGCATCAGCAACCTAGTTCAACTCGCCTTTAATATGACGAAGGTCTGTCGTGAACTGAGAGATATAGTAAAAATGTCTGCACTCTCGTGGTGAGTAGCGGTCAGACTTTGTATGCAGAGCAAACGTTAGAGGCTTATGGTCGATGAAAAGGATAAAATTGCGACCTTCTACTGCGTGCCGGAAATGTTTGATGGCACAGTAGGCTGCTAGCAGTTCGCGACCAAAAGCGCTATATCTCGTCTCCGTAGGAGTCAGGCGTCGTGAGAAAAATTCGAGAGGCTGCCAACTGCCTGTGGTGTTTTGTTGCAAAACGGCTTCTATAGCGAAATCTGAAGCATCAACCGCTAAGCTACTCGTGGCTGAGGGGTCAGGATGGACGAGGATCGTGGCTTTAGCTAAAGCTTTTTTAATCTCAGAAACTGCAGTACTCATGGCATCGTTCAATTCTAGTGTTCAAGGATTACCGCGAAGTAAGTCGGTTAGTGGTTGTAGTTATGCCGTAACTAACCAATCAGACTGTGCTTTAAGCGCTCACCGCGCTATCTAGTCTGACCGGTCTGTAAACTTTCCTTGTTTTAAATGACCTATTGATTGAAGGACGTTATTATTTTATTATATTGATGTGACTCATGCTTTTATTCATTTTCCAAAGACACTCTTTAATGGTCGGTATGTTTATTCATTTCCCTTTATAGCTGTAATTTCCTTATTTATTGTACTAATTTAATCGTTTTCTTGTTTAGAAACAGATAAAGTTTAAAACCAAGTTGACTTTATTCATATTATAGATTTGCCATGGACTCTGTGTCACCAGTATTGCGTTTACTTTTCTAAAATTTCATCTGAAGGTTCAATTAAATCCTATAGTGGTCGTAACGTCTCTGCCACGTGATGAAATAAACGTCGGTAGAAGTTGACCAAACTGATAAAAAGCCTCCAGTTGCGGTGCCAGTCGGCGTGGTCGTGCCGTGACTACTGGTCCGCGAATGACGATGTGGTGTACCGCATGATGAGTCACCGATGGAATGTCCTCATTTGATTAAGTTAACTGGGGAATTTTTCGAGTAAAGCGTGGTCGTCAGTACTCACCTGTCTAGGCTCGAAAGCTCATGAATTTGCTGTTGGACTAAGTATCGATTAACTGCAGCCTCCGTGAATCGACTAGCGATTCATAGTGCTTTAGGAAATCGATACCGAGTGTGAATGTGGGAACATCAGCAATGATGAACGTCCACAGATATTGACGTCGGTTGCTCAGGTTGACCGACAGCTGTCGTGTACCACAGGTAGGAATAACAGAGCCATTCTCAGCGCCTAGTCGAAGCATCATAGGTTGAGACTTGCTGCTACCAAGTTGTATGACTGAAACTTGGACACTTGTGTCAACGAGGTACCTAGCGTTAGTGCAGATAACGTGCACGTAAAATAGGCGGCCAACATGAGGTGAGGGGCCGACGAGTGCGGCCGCGTTTACTCGCCTTGTATGAACGCCAGACTTAAAAGTCTGGTGGAACCAGCACCGAACGGTACTAGCTCCCGAAGCCGCCCTATAGCGTTGCTTGGGAATTGGTGTGAATCCAACAAATGCCTGAATTGGCTAAATATCGGTGAAGTGCAGAGACGAGTAACGAAATGGGTGATAGGGTTGAAAAACAGGCCTTACAAAGATAGACTCCAGCACTTGAGATTATTTCCACTGAGTTACAGGAGAGTTAGAGGTGATCTGATTATGCCGTACAACATATTAAGCACGCCAAACCATCACGACGTGAGCATCATACCGATGCATCACCACCACTCCCCTCGAGGAAACCCTCGAAAAATTGCACATCAAAGAGCGAATACTCAGATTCGTGCACACTATATCTCATTCAGAGTCGTCGCAGCTGAGATGATCACAGCCCCCTCAGTAGACAGCTTTAAGAAGAGACATGATAAACACGCACTGAAACGCGGATTGTCATCTCATTCGTGGACCAGCTATGTCTCATGCGCGTCTTGAGACCTGCTAGTGGTTATCATCGCCATATCCTCAGATCACTTACTTAATCTATCCGGCTTATTATCTACTTTGCTTGCATTCCGATCTTCTCGCACAATCTTCACCGACAATTAACAAACTAAATTATCTAATTACTTCCTCAGTCCAGTAACTTTCTCCTTATTATTATTATTATTATCCACATAGCAACTAACTGAACTCCGTTCTGGCAATGTGATAACTGCTGGTTTCCTGAAACAAACATACTCATTTAGATCACGGGACATACAAACTCATTATCAACTGCCAGCTGATTACAATTAGTGCGCTCAAGTGGCTAGTTCCTCATCCGTTCAAAACTACCAATGCCTGGAACCACACCTAAAGAACAAGAAGTGAGCTCGAAGTAAATAATTGGTTTATGGTAGCTTTGAAAAAAGCTATTGGGTATTGAATCGTTGACAAGTAAGCACCGCTGATTATGAAACTGGCGTCCTTAAAGGTCGCAGACGTCTGGATCTCCTGAACTTTATTGTTAGTGATTTATTCTTTTAATCCGATTCGGAACTAACTGTCTGGATTCTGAGAGTCCCAACTGATAAAGGCATATTTTTGTAACAAGGAACCATTGAATTCGCCTCTTTATCTCTTAGAATAACACTGGTTGACTTCTGGGTTCGTATCTTCTCAAAATTATATAATGATGGAAGTTGCACAGTTCGATCCAAGTGTCTAATGTGGTCAAAATAGACTACTGATTTCCTTCGTTGAGTGGTGAGATTCGACCTTGGAAATTATAAGCTTACAAATCAGATGCTAAAAATACGAAAAATATGTAGGAAACTGTCTTTAAAACTTCCAGCCTAACATATTAGTTTGTATCAAAAAACATGTATTTGAAAAGTCAGATCTCGCCTTTCACATGAATGCCCAGATTACCACAGTTTCTACAATATTATTATCATTATTATATTTATCTACATATGTAGATTATTCGGAATGGCTTCCTCGCATTAGTTGTAGATACTTCATCCAGTTTTGTTGAAATTAACGAATGTCAACTGTTTTTGGCATCTGATAAAATTTTTTGGCAACTCCAATATCCAATATCTTTTTCACGAGCTAGTGTAAACTAATTGATTTCTTTGCGCTCGATTCTTGGTCTTTCGGTACGGTTCCAGGTGCTCGGTAGTGTCCAATGAATGGGAGTCTAGCCACTCGACTGTCTAGTTCTGGTCAGTTGGCAGTTGGTTGTGAGTTTGTATATCTCGGGATTTGAATGAAAACGTTTGTTTCAGGGCAGCAGGGTTTCTGGATAGCAGGAGCTATCACATTACCAGACCGGAGATCAGTTAGTTGCAATGCTGAGAGTAACAAGGATAATAAGGATAAAATTCTAATGCTAATATGAATAAAATTTCAGAACTAAGTAATATATAGGTGAATTTAGTTTTATTAATTAGTGGTGAAGATTGTGAGAGACGACCGTAGTGTAAGCAAGGGAGAGGAAACAGAGATAATAGGCGAGAGATTAAGTAAGTGATCTGAGGATATGGCGATGATAACCACTAGCAGGTCTCAAGACGCGCATGAGACATAGCTGGTCCACGAATGAGATGACAATCCGCGTTTCAGTGCGTGTTTATCATGTCTCTTCTTAAAGCTGTCTACTGAGGGGGCTGTGATCATCTCAGCTGCGACGACTCTGAATGAGATATAGTGTGCACGAATCTGAGTATTCGCTCTTTGATGTGCAATTTTTCGAGGGTTTCCTCGAGGGGAGTGGTGGTGATGCATCGGTATGATGCTCACGTCGTGATGGTTTGGCGTGCTTAATATGTTGTACGGCATAATCAGATCACCTCTAACTCTCCTGTAACTCAGTGGAAATAATCTCAAGTGCTGGAGTCTATCTTTGTAAGGCCTGTTTTTCAACCCTATCACCCATTTCGTTACTCGTCTCTGCACTCGATCGAAGAGATTTATGTCTGTTTTAAGCAGAGGGAGTGCGATGACGTTTTGAACCTCCAGGTGTAGGCACGCATACGCCTTAAATAGTGTCAAAAATAATTGCGGGGTGATAGCACCAAGTTCTCTTCGCATAAAGTGAAGAGTCGCATTTGCCTTGGCTGCGTCCCTACATATTTTGGGCTCGTGTGGAGGCTTTCTGTGGTTATTAAACCGAGATAGCGCTCTGAGAAGACATTAGGGAGCGGACTCCCAATGAAGGTGTAGGTCGTTTGCGTTGTGTGAGGCAGAATATGCATGACGTGGCACTTCGGTTGGTTGAGTTTTAAACTGTTTTTTTTCACTGCCTATTCCTCAATAGATGTAAGGTCCTTTTGAAGCTCAGCCGAATCCTCTTCACTTCTAATGGACCTCCAGATCTTCGCATCGTCTGCGTAGATTAATGCCGGCGAGCTAACTGTGTCTAACAGGTTGTTAATAAATATCAGGAAGAGAAGCGGGCCTAAGATGGTCCCCTGTGAAACTGCCGATGTGGATGCTTGCCAGCTCGCGTGCACTCTGTTTACCTTGGTACGAAACTTTCTATTCTCAAGGTTGTTTCTGAGCCAAGATACGAGTGGGTCAGTGAAGCCCATTTCCTTAACCTTTGCGATTAGGCGTGTGTGGGGTTCTGTGTCAAATGCTTTTGAAAAGTCCAGAAATATTACGTGCACCGGTATTTTACGGTCCAAACAGGATGTCCAACTGTCCCATGCGATGAGAAGATTAGATGCACACGACCTGCCTTTCCGAAACCTATGTTGAGCTTCATGGAGTATTTTATTCTTATCCATGTACTCCTTCATTTGTTCGTCCACCAGCCCTTACATTACCTTTAATAGTAGTAATGCGATTGGTCTGTAACATTCTGGGTCCTTCCTATCTTCTCCTTTGGAGATTGGAGAGAGAGAGTAGCTTGTTTCCATTCAGCTGGGAGTTGGTGTGACTGCAGTGAATGCCTGAGCAGGTCACATATCGGTGAACAGAGAACTTCTGCACATTGTTTCAAGACTATGCGGCGAATTTTGTCACAACCTGGTGACTTACCTGGGCGTAAGGATTTTAGTTTCCTTAGTACTAAGTCAAGAGTGATACAGATGTTCCCTAAACCGTCAGCTGGCAATGGGTTTGCATAGTACTCTGAACATGTGGGCTCCCGGTTTAACTGCCCAGTAAAGTTAGTGTTTAAAATCTCAGCCATCTCTAGGTTGGTGATGTCTTCCCCGTTTGGTCCTTTGAAAGAACACAACCCTTGATTAGTAGGTTTTCTTTTGGACATGAACCTAAACAGATGCTTCGGGTTTGCCTGTATTTTGGTAGCTAACTTCAACTGAAATTGTCTCCTATCACTTCGAACTTCGGTATTGTATCTGTTTCTCAATGTCAAGTAAGAACTGCGATCGGAATCCTTCAATGAGACCTTCCACTTGTGCCAGGCTCTCCTCTTCGCCTGTACCAAGAGTTCAGTGTGTGGGTTTTTCCGCATTATTTAAGTGTCGCATACGTTTAGGCATGTATGTCTATGGCTTTTATCATTTAAAAAAAAGAAGACAAGTTTTGATGTTTAAAACCTTCCTGGTATATAGTATTACTCAGAGTTTGATCTTTTATTGGGATTTTATTCACAGTCGTAGTGAACTTCCACGATTCTCAATCCGTTCTTTTGAGGATTTGACTCAAGTTCTTTTGGTTCACATGATACAACTACAACCTTGAAATAAAATGTCCTAAGTTGATTTTAATAGTCTTTATGTTATTCAATTTGATTTATATAAGAGAGAAAAGACTTGATAAACAGATGCACACATATGGTTTATGATCATCTCCTTCTTGGACCAGTTGTACCTAATACATGTCACTAACTTATTCTATCTTGCTTATTATCTCTGTTTAATCTGTTTTGCTTACACGTCGGTGCTCTCACACAGTTTGATTACTAGTATAGTTCTGGAATTTTCGTTTTCTAATTGGCATTAGACTTTTCTGTTTATCGTTCTCCATATTGTAAGTAACTGATCTCCGGTCTGGCAACGTGATAGCTGCTAGTATTCAGAAACCTGACTGCCCTGAGACAAGCGTATAGCTAATGGAATAATGTACTACTTCGCGGGATAACAAATGTTAATCCCGTTATTCTAAGAATCAGATAAAAGACTATTCTAGATGAAGAAGTATATTTAATGCTAGCCTCATGATATCCAAATAATATTGAGGCCAGAGGGCGTACAAACGGCTAACGTCCACGCAGGAGACGCGCGAAGGAACCGAATAGGAATAACACCCTTGGCGCGCGAGAGATAGTCTTTAGTACAGATAAACAAGAGGTGTACACTAGAAAAATTATTGTCAGAATTAAGTACAATAACAAATGTTTATATTTCGTCAATTGTATTTTCTTCGTAAAAGTATACCACTACAAGCGCACTCATTCAAATCACGAGACATACATATTCAAGAATAACTACCAGTTGACTAGAATTATTGCAGTTGAGCGGCTAGACTATTATCCGTTAGACATTTCCAAATACCTGGAACCAAACCTAGTATTTAGTTTACTTGTTTTGATGGACAAGTTACTAATAGAATTGTATCACAAAGACTGTATACTCTGCGACCTTCTATTATCATTTGATGGTATCAATAAAATATTTACGCTCTTACGAATTTGTTAAGTGTCTAGAGTATTCAAGCAATCTCGTAAAGTATTTAGGATCATTCATCTTAGTTAAGTAAATTTCTATACAATTTATTCAGTGATTACATCATGTTTTCTCCTTTTTTAGGTTCACTTGAACTCTTTTCCTGTGAACGTATAGTTTTCTGTTTCTCAATGGTCACTAGTCGATTACGTTTTGTGTTGTTTATCTGTATTTTGAGTGCATTTACTTCTGGTAAGCAAGTTTTATCTGTGTTTTTATCCCTTTAAACATTGATGGTAAATCAATTGATTTTTCAATTTTGAGTGAAAAAAATAAAATTCAATTTTTTTTTCATACATAGATAGTATATATGATGAAAATATTTAGAAATTAACTGAAATATCACTTAAAATAATAAGTTGTCTATTTTACTTAACAACATTTAGTTGTCCGATGACATCATTTTAAAGATATGCATCATTCATTCATCTAGGAATTTTAAAGACATTAAAAAACATCTAGTTCCATTCTCAAAAATTATTTATTTCCTTGTAATTTTTTTTGGGGTACATTTCATAACTTTTCTGTCTTGTCTCTTCTATATTTGCAATAAAAATTTAATCTAACTAAGAAAGGAAAAAATTTATTCTTCAACACCATCCTCGCTACCCTAACACACACCTTTTTTTATGCTGAAAAGCTTACATTCTATTCGATTCTTCCTTTATTCTAAATAGAATGAAAGTGATGATGATCATTAATTGTTATCGATTATGTTGGTTTCTCTTGATGAATTAACCAAACTTATATTTGTCTGTGCTACAATATAATATTGAATTACATGACATCCACATGACATCCATCTTAACTATTACTGTGTTGGGTATACTACTGCACATGACTTCGCAAAAAATTCGATCATTGTTTTTTGACAGTGACTAATTGTTTTTATTCTAAAATTGTAATCAGAAGTTAAAAGAGCTGCCCCTGTTCGGAATGACCAGTTTTCAAAGATACACTGAAAAATTATGAATGACGATGGAGTCAGGTATAAATGTTTATTTTCCCAATAGTTGAGGGCTTAACAAAAAGTTTTATTTTGTGGGCATACTACAAGTTTGGTTGAAGAGATTTTCTTTTAGATCGTATTCACTTAGTCGAAAGTAATGATAACTGAAATGGCGTTCAATATTTATGAGTTTGTTATTATTAGACCGAGTAGATTGAATAAATTGTACAATAGAATAGACGACTTTGAAGACAACTAGTCGTTGGATGACGACAAGCTGATTAGGACCGGCGAGATGATAGTAATGGATGGTTAGAGACCGTGAATGACATGGCTCAAAACCGTTTGCAATGTCGCAGGTGTATTCATTGTTTGTGTTCGCTCAAATTCTAACTTTCTGGCATAATATTCGTTTTGAAAGAACCTAAAGGCATGCGAACCAATAAGTTGTATTTACCCACGAAGTTATTGAATATTAAATTTCACAATGTTTGTATGTAGATGCCATCTGTTTAGACTGTTTCTTGAAGACTGGCTAGGACATATTATAATTGGTCACAATAGCGTAAATGCATTCTGTTAGGATATTCATCCAATATCCTAAGAGAATTATTTGTCAAATCGTATTGGTCGATTTCTATTGGTCACAATTATGGTCGTTATGAGTGTCAAAGTCAAATCCTTCAATGTTGTTTCTTATTGGTTGTCGTGATTATCAATGTCACTTCAAATGTTACTTCCTATTGGTCGTCTTAACTATCAATGCTACAGAATTCGATGCTGTTTCCTATTCGACCAAAATGTATAAATACGCATTATCTGTAACGTTTATTGACCACGACCAGGACCAGGGCTCGGTCCCGGATCCCTAGTCCGGGATCCTGATTCTCTTCTGGATTCGGACCTCGTGCTTTCTGGATGCTTGTAGAATACACATTCTACTTCACATCATGTCTTCTTATTTTTACTCAATATGGGGGTTGTAATAATCGGATTTGAGTAACATGTCGTGTCACCGGATCCTCGCTCTCGTTTCCGACTAGGTAAACTCGTAATAGTTCAAGTATATCAAGTTGACGTGTTTACGTGCAGGCGTAACACATTCACTCTTTGTCTTCTCGTAGTTTCGGATTTTTCTAAACCTTTTATTCCAAGAGTTTATTCATTTCCCTTTAATGGTTACTGTCAATGCCTAATTTTTTTAAAATATGAGATCTCCTATTTTATCACTTGTTTAATTTATACTGACAATTCCTTAAGTCTGTTATAATGTAGACGAATATATATATGTAACAGGTTCTATTTTACTTATGAACTAACTAACTAAGTGACTCTCTAATCAAGATATTTTAGAAACATCTCATATGTTTTACATTTTTGGTTAGCCGACAACTAACACAAAATGTATGCAATAATAGATTGACAAAAATATGACTGTTTTGTGGAAATATGTTGTTTTGTTTTATGAGAATTTTCATCTCTAAATGATTTTTTTTTAATTCAAACGAGTGTTAACTAGAAGTTGAAATAATTAATACTTATATAATCTTAGAATAAAAAATTTCCGAACGTTCAAAAACCCAAATGATTTATCAATAATTATCACACTGATATCAGTCCAAGTATATGAACATTTGTATATATATATATAATCCTTTTTGATTGACTGATTGATTGTCTCATTTTTGGGTTATTTTTAGGATTAACATTTGGATTTTCATCAGCAACAGCACTTCAACTTTATTTTAACACTATTTGGTCATCAGTTTTTATTGGTTGTTTAAATATTGGTGGAATATTTGGATCTTTGTGGTCAACATGGCTTATTCGTCATTGCGGTCATCGTCGTACATTATTACTTTCTTATACTCTATCTGTGATTGGATGGATGTTATTGTTTTGGTCATCACCAACTGTTTATGAACGATATTCACCGACTGTTCAATTGATATTAGGACGTTTATTAACTGGTTTAGCATGTGGATTAACTTTAACTACCAATATAATTTATGTATATGAAATAGTTCCATCATCACGGAAAGTATTAATGGGATCATTGTTTCAAATTGGCATAGCATGTGGAATTGTTTGTGATTATACACTTGCGGTGTTTGCAAACTGGGATGTTATTTCCTTGATTTTTGCATTGATTATCTCGTTTGTAGCTATTTTGACTTTTTATTTACCGGAATCCTCTGAATGGTACATTACAACGGGTAATTTACAACTAGCCGAAGCATCTCATTATTGGTTGTATGGAAATGTAAGTAATTGCTACTAGGTGTACACAAATGCATTTAAAATCAAACCAATTATATTTAAAGAAAACAATATTCATATTAGTTCAATGAATGGAACTCGGTACTACACATTCCATAATCAAGTTTTTATCAGTTGATGTCTTTTCTACTTGTCTATACCTATGCAATGCAATGTGTAGAGTTGAGACGTAGTTTCTTGTTATTAGCTTATTCGTGCAGGCAGTTGGGTTCCAGTGACACTTTAAAACGTAATTGAGTGCTAGTAATATTTACACGTTCACCTAAACCCGGAGTAGATAGAGATGAGTATAGTCAATCCGTGGATGAAGCCTTAAACTGTTTACTGAAATGTTATTTTTATTTTTCTGTGAAAGTTTTGGTTTTTATTTAAGGCCTCCTATAATTTTGTATAATGTCAACTATATTTACCTGTTAGGATATTTATCCAATATCCTAAGAGAATTATTTCTGTGAGTCTAATTCTATTGGTCAATTCCTACTGGTCAATATTATGGTGGTCCTAGCTATCAATGTCACGTACTTCAATGTTGTTTCGTATTCGACCTAACTTTATAAATAGGTATTATCTATAACTTTTTATGACCCGGACGCTGATCCCTGGTCGGAGATGCTGATTCTTTTCTGGACTTGGACCTCGTACTTTGTGGATGCTTAAAGAAAACATGTACTACTTCATATCAAATCTTCTTCTCTTCAATAGGGGTTTGGGACACTGGGATTAGAGTAGCCTGTCGTATCGCCGGATCCTGGATTCTTACTCTCGTTTACTGACAATAGTAAACTTGTACTAGTTTAAGCATATCAAATGACGTGTTTACGTGCATGCGTAACATTACCATGAAAACCATTTGTGCAAACTCTGCTTTGTGAAATACTAAAGTTATGGAGAACTATATGCCATTAGATGTTCACATGTATTTAGCAGAATTTGTTTTGACAATTCTTTTAACGTCAATCATGATTCGGTCATTGTTAGACCACCATTAGAAACCCAGAAGCTGTAGAAGACGGTTTCTTCCTAGTATGGGACTCTTCAGCAGTGAACATCCACGGCTCTCGCTCACGGGAATCGAACCCAATACTTCTCGTTTCACAACAGAACGCCCTTGCACGAAAACTTTAGATTGATGAAAGTTAGGCATTAACACCGTCAAATGGCGGCCCCAGCGGTTTAGAGGTCAAATGTTCGTGCATGAGACCGAATGTTGTGGATGTGCACTGTTGAGCATTCTGAGACTAGGTTGAAACGGTTGTCTAGTGCTTCCATGTCTGACAGCGATTAATTCATGGTTTCAATCAAAAGTAATTTTGGCCATAACACATGTTTTGTTGCTGCTCTAATACTGGCCTTCGTTGTGAAACTCATGAAATTGAATTTTAAAAATTTATCATCACAAATGAGAACAGATTTTTGTTTAACAATAAATTGTGTTTTCATATTAGTTAGACACTTTATGAAAATGAGGTCTTTTTTTTGGTCAGCCTTCTTTACAAGTTAATCACAAATCAGTCATAAATGTTTGTTTTTTTATCGTTGTCTCAATTTTAGGAGATACCTTTTAAACAAAATGCTGATCATTTGTTAAATAATGGTAATGTTTCGCATGATTTATCAAATCTCAACACAAATTCATACACTGGTTCTTCACAGCATCTTTTAAATAACTCAACATGTAAACTACGCACAATTTTTCTACTAATGCTATTTCAACAATTGACTGGAATGAATGTGATCATTTCTTTTGCTGAAACAGTTTGTATATTTGGTGGACTAGTATCATATCAATGTGCATTCTTCATAGGATTGTATTTATTGATTTTCAGCATTGTTTCAGTATATATAGTTAGAATATTCTCTTGGAAAAAATTACTACAAATTGGTGCTGTGATTATGGCTTTATCGCATTTGTGGTTTTCGTTGACAATAGTGGTAAGTGTTGCCAGTTTGTAGAAAATAATTATTTATGATCTTTAAGAAATCATTTGGAGTAATGGAATAAGAGATCACTTGCAGTGTCAACTTGACCAAGTTTTTGTTAGTTAACAAACTGCACCCAGGTCGTTATTTCTTCTTCTTCCTATGTCGACGATATTATTCCCCAAAAGCAAGTATATTCTCATTATTTATGGGTAAATATGCCAATGTCACTATTACCACATCAGAGCGCTTAGCTTTGTGATGAAGTTCGAAATACTTGCGTTAAATCAATCTTTTAACTCATCTGAACTGCGACTAGTGGGAGCGTAGGCTGGGACAACGAAGAGGCAACGTTGAGTGTTATTTTATTTTTGAGTTCTCACTCTCCCATCCAGTCGGACAGCGCACAAACGAATGTTTACTTGAATCCAGTCTAGGAGAGCTACCTCTGACTTAAAACTCAATGCTGTATCCACACCGGCCAGGCCACAGGTAGTGACAGTGAGATCTTCAAATACACACAGGGTAAATCGTTAAACGTTTTCATAGTGACAAGGTTTGGTCAAACGAATCACTGTACTCGAACCTGTATGTACGCTCTGGAGATGCAGCATACGTAGATGGTGCAGGATTGTAGAGTCCTGGCTAATGAAGCCCTTTATGCTATTTGGCACAAGGTTTGGACATCCCCAATCAGGTAGTCTGCATCTACCAACATGACTCAATCCATTTGTCAGTGATTTCATGGATTTGTGCCATGTTTTGGTTTGGCCACCCCTAGCTTTCTTCCAACCTACTCCTACACCACAAAACATAGCTCATCGAAGCAGTCGGTCGTTAGGCATACGTAACACATGTCCAAAGGTTGACACAAGTCCTGTGAGATCGACATAAAAGTATACACAGTACAGACTAAGTCAGAAATGGCCAAATTTAAAGGACATTTCATGGTCATTAGAAATGTTCTAAAGAAACAGCTTTCTTCTTAAGGAAATGAATATATATGTATGGACGAGTATTTGTTCATATGACTCGTAATTCAAATAAATCTACCCTTCTGTTTACCTTCTCTCTCAAGTATCCATTTATGTAAGATCTCTAGGTTTGATAAAATTGGCTTAAAACTAATAGACAATAAATCTCATAGCTTCAAGTGGAAAATCCATTAAGATAGAAAACAGAACATTACCAACATTAACCGAACACCCCTATAAGGCCGCTTAGCATTACTTATTTTCCAAATCCATCAGTCAGTCAATCATGTTCCTGATTAAAAATTGCTCTTCATGTCTGATGTATTGTGGTAATTAATACCTAAGAGTTGTTTACAAATATAGAGCACAAACAACAGAGTCACAAATCATAAGGTCCATCCATCTAATGGGATACCTCTCAAAGCAAATATCGATATAATAATAATAATAATCATAATTCATTAATGATTAGCGAGCGCGTTTTGTAAGAAAAATAAGCAACAATGTATGTGAATAGAATTTTATTGATTGTAAACATTATAATACTGAATATATCACCGGAAAATAAATAAAATACATGACAAAAAGCAACGTAGTAAGGTTTACGACTTAACTATGGTTCCAATTGATAGTGTATTTTCAGAAATCGGTCTTCCACTATCATCATCATCATCACCTTGAGACAAATTCAAATTTGACGTAGAAATAAAATCATCATCATTACAGACTGAGAATTGATTGGATACAGTAGGGATTAGTTTAGTCACAGGATTTGTTTTGATTAGGTTATGAAAATTGTGATCTGATTGATCAACTAATAAAGGGATACAACTGAAGGAATTGGATAAGGTTAGTAGTTCTGATTGATGATGTGAATTAGATAAGATGATATTGGATTGTGTGTCATGTGGATGGGACAGAAAACTGTGAACAAAAAAATATATATATAGGGATTAAAACTTTTTAAGTATCACTTTAATCTGCAGAGATATGAATACTTTAAACAATAAGTAGTTAGTTATTGAGGATAAATCAGACGCTATATCAACTGTTAAAACTTTGATGTGTAAAATCTTCCTCGTAAGTTTGGGGAATAAATAGTGATAAAATCGTACTTAATAGAGGGGATAATTGGCTTTTTTTCCCAATGCAAGTGACAAAAGACGCAAAACTTTTGAACCAGTAGTAATGATTGCAATGATCACACATGCAACAACAAATGCAAGAGAAGACGACCAGTGTAACAGCAGCCTCTGCAGCACCAGGTCTCAACATACGTAAACGGAAAAGCGAAATTCTCCGATGCAACACAACATGAACCAACCAAATCAATCTTGATGGAGGTGCTTGGAGAACGTTAACACCTTTACATATCTTGGCAGCATCATCGACAATCAAGGTGGATCCGATGCAGATGTGAGGGTGCGGATTGATAAAGCTATGGGTGCATTTCTGCAACTGAAAAATATCTGAAACTCAAAACAACTATCAACCAACACCAAAATCAGAATTTTCAATACAAATGTCAAGACACTTCTGCTGTATGAAGCGAAAACTTGGAGAAGCACGAAAGCTATCTTCCGGAAGATACAAGTATTCATAAACAGTTATCTCAGCAAAATACTTCGGATCCGTTGGCCAGACAACATCAGCAACAACCTACTGTAGGAGAGAACAAACTAGTTCTCAGGTGAGGAATAAATTAGAAAGAGTTGGTGGAAGTCAAATAGGAAACACATTGTGGAATGCACCGAACTGCGTCACAAGACAAGCCCTCACATGGAACTCTCAAGGTAAAAGGAAAAGAGGTAAGGCAAGAAACACTTCGAACAGGGAAATAGAGAAAAACATGAGAAAAATGAACAAAACATGGAAAGAAATGGGAAGGGAAGCCGAGGACAGAGTTGTTAGGAGAAAACTGGTGGGCGGCCTATGTTCTATTGATTGATCAATGAAGTGTACAGAACTCACTTAATTATCGCATATCATCGCTTATTGATAAATCACACATTCAACACACACACATACAACAGCAGACATTCAACGAAAGATGCAAATGTATAACCAATGTAATTCAGTAGTAGTAGTAGTAGTAGTAGTAGTAATAGTAGTAGTAGTACACTGTTATGTTGGTCACTAGGTACGCTTGAAGCTATTACGAGTCCACCTTAGTCTATAAACACGAACAAGACAATTACGAGCTCTCAATTCTCCTCTTCCCAATTCCAGACTTTCTGTCAACGGCTAGCTATTAAACACTTACGCTCGCCACCATACCACCGGCAATCGAATGGGCAGGCGGAAAGGTTTGTGGATACGTTTTAAAAGAGCACTGCTTAAGTCAAAAGGGGAGGGGACGCCAGCCGAAGCGTTACAAAATTTCTTGTACGTCTATCGGACCACACCAAATGAGTTGTTACCGGAGCAAAAGTCCCCAGCAGAAATCCTGATGGGAAGAAGATTGAAAACGATCCACAGCCTGATGCATCCGACTAATGCACCCTCATCAGTAGAGACAAAGCAGCAAAGACAATCTTCTTACGAAGTGGGATGCCCTGTGTTTGCCCGCGACTACATAACGAACCATGGTCGTTGGGCAGAAGCGAGAGTGGTCAGAAGAGTTGGTCGAGTTATGTATGAAGTAGAGGTAGGAGGTGATAAATGGTCACGTCATCGAAATCAGATACGCAGACGGCTAGCCCCAGATCGCCCATTAAGAGTAGAAAGCTTTCCCCTTGACATCTTGCTTGATACCTTCAACCTACCGGCAGCCCTGCCATGAGAAGAAACTCAGCAGCAAGCTGTTCTTCGTCCCCGAAGGTATCCTCTCAGACAGCGGCGAACGACAGTCAAGATGCAGGTCGACCCCAGGAACACATTCTATTAAAAGGGGAGGATTGTTGGGGATGTTTGATCCCCGAAATTCGCTTGATAAATGCCTTATTTTGGTTTTCACGTTTACCAGCATGGGCTGATCAGTTGACCTTGAGATTTCGATTCCCACCAGGAAAATCCATGGATGTGATTGGCTGCTGTGTATTTTAGTTTGCTATTTTCTTAACTGTCCCAAGGACGTTCCTATGTTGTATAAATAAACGAGAGTTGTATGCTTGATTGTACTGTGTTTGCTGGGTGTTTGTAGAATATAATTTCTACGCTTACAAAGCCTTTTCACTTCAGCCTCGTATTCAAGGTAGCCTACCTGGACGTTGGTTTATTGTCTCGTTCGCGTTTATCGACTAAGGTAAACTCGTGACGAACGTATCAGTCTATCGGGGGAAACATCCTACTTGAACAGCTTGTCGGATCTTGAAACAGAAAAGGAGTAAGATTTAGGAAGTGTCAGTTGGCTCAGAAGTATGAGTACGTCATGCTAACCAACTGAAAGCAACTTCGAAAGTCAGCAACGGGACTCAATTTCGAATTTCCCTTGAGATTCTGCTGGACACCTTCAAAACAAATCTCCTGGAACTGACAAGTAAGTTTCTGTGCAATCAAAGAGTGATACAACGTCCTTATTGCCGAGATGGACAAATCGAAAACACAGGCCATTCAGTCGGTTCCACCCTGTTCCGATTTGGGACTTGTCGAGTCCATTGTTGTCAGAAAATACTAAGCAATATGAACAGCTGGGTTTAGGAAGATAGATGTACATCAGTTCAGGTTGCCATACGGCATTAGCATGGAGAGGCAACTGTCAGTTCCAAGTCCATAGTGGTAACGATAGTATAAGAATTAGCGATAATTGAGAAGATTAGGGTTCGAAGATATCATTCGAGAAGTATAATTCTGTGATAGAAAGTTTGAGAGAGAGGAAGATAGAGATGGTGAGGAGTTCGGAAGGTTAGAATTTGAGAGAACACAAAGAGTGGATGCACCTGCGGCATTACAAACGATTTTGAGCCATGTCGTTCAAGGTCTCTAACCATTGGTGACTTTCGTCTCGCAGACACCAACCAAGTAGCCTACATCTACCAACATGACTCAGTCCACTTGTCAATGATTCCATGGATTTGTGCCATGTTTTGGTTTGGCCGCCCCTAGCTTTCTTTCAACCTGCTCCCACTGCACAAAACATAGCTCTTCGAAGCAGTCGGTGGTTAGGCATATGTAACACAACCGATAAAGTTTCAATACTCCATCTATTGATATGTCATCCCTACATAGTAATCGTTTTCTATCGACAGCATTGCCTACTGGATTGTCCCGGAACGAACGAGCGATGCTTCGGCGACACCTTCGCTCGAAGACAAGGAATCTACGAATGTCCTCCACTGTTAACGGCCATGTTTCCCATCCGTATGGTAGGACGGAGCGGACTGCAGAGCAGTACACTCCTCCTTTGGTTAACAAGCGGATATCTCGCCTGCGCCATTAGTGACGGAGGTTAGCAAAAGCCAATCGAGCCTTCTGTGTCCGTGCTGAGATTTCGTCACACACCAGGCGCTCAGCACTGATGAGACTCCCCAGATACATGAAGCGATCTATAAGTTCGACTACTTCAATCCCTATCACTAGTTCAGGTTTCAACGCAAGCCATTCTTGAAACAACATTTTGCATTTTGAAGGGGAAAACTGCATCACGAACATGCTTGCATTTTTGCTTAGGTTGGTTATGAGACTCTGCATGTTGTCAGCATCTTTATAAAATAGAAATGTCATCAGCATACTCTAAGTCAGCAAGCGTGTCTCCTGGTAAAAGGTCAACTCCTGAAAGATCTGACGAGTTTAATGTTAACTGTAAGAGGATGTATACGACAAAGTTAAATAAGAATGGAGAGGAGGAGGTCCGACAGCTTTCCGTAAAACTCATCTTTCACATCGTCTAAACTGCAGTAAGTGAGGGTGCAGGCAGATATGACGAAGAGGCAACGACAAGTGTCCTTATCATTTCGAGATCTTACTGTCCGGTTCAGTCGGACAGCGCACAAGCGACTATCTAAAAGGGATCCATTCTAGGAAAGATAGTTGAGCGCAACGACTCGATGCTATGCCAACGATAGCGAGACCCCGTAAGCAGAATCAGGGCTACCGGATACAAGAAGAGTAAATCTAGCTGCTGATACACTTTTGATGTGCATGACCGTATACTATACTATACTATACCATACGTGCTTTCGATGTCATATATTTTTAGTTGATCTAACCGATAATATCATAATGGAGTTTCAAATGATTTATTGAGAATACTGAACGTCATTAAAAAATTGATAAGTTCAAATTATGCATGGATCATACCGGTCATCCTGCATTTCGAGATTAGTTATTACCGAAACATTATTTCAGCCGAAAGTTCTTTAAGTTGATTCACAACTAACTACATTTTTTGATTTAAACACTGTTGTGTTTGTAGTCACTTCATGTTATGCTTTTTTATGTAAACTTGTAGAAAACTGTTGATTCAAATCAACATCAACTCGGGTTCAAATGATGTTTCTGGAAGTAGAAATATCGTCACACCTGCGATCTTATTTCGTGCTGATATAGAGTTTATTACAAAATTGCGAATCATTTAAATTTTCTTTGTTCAATGATTACTCTGTTTTACTTTTTTATTTGATAATTTATGCCAGTATGTCGTACAATAATCTCGGTTGTCTTTCTTATAGTACTTTTCTTAGCAATGACTAAGAATGCATTTTACTGCAAGCTAAGTAGGAGAGATAATGGCTTGGTGTAGA